CTCCTGACAAGAACAGACTGTTTGGTGCTCGAGGGGAAATCGGAAGCAGTCATGCTGGTTTTAGCAATGATCTTGACCCTGGTTTCTGTCCTCCTTGTGTATTCAGTTGGGCTGACAGACGGCCAGCACCACTACAACACTCTGGCTTTTGGATCCTTGATATTGCTAGGCGTTCTGGCTGTGATGCTGTCCATCGTGAACAATCTGGTGTCTCTGGAGCGTTTGCTCCTTGACGACACCCTCAAGATCCTGCAAAGTTGGCGAGAGCGGCTGGAGCGCTTAAGATACGGAGTCACAAGCACACTGTTTGAAGAGGACAACTTGAAGGACATAACGTTCTTGGACAATTACCTCTGCAGTGACTGGGCCGCAGTGTGTGTAAGCCAGTTGCTCATCTCAGGGCTTTCCATGGGGTTTTCAAACACGAAACCGGATGTCGCGAACCGGACCTTAGTTTCATTCGACGTGGCTTAGGCTTGATCGATCCCGTGGCTGGGCTTATCGACTACACCAAGAATTGGCAAAAGCCTGTAAGCCTCTTCGGCGTAACGGCATCCAGTACTCGTCGCAACCGGGTGGTGCTGTCGCTGCTGGCATACTTTGCGGTACTTCTTTGGCAGCTCTTGAAGCAGCAGGGTTGGTACATTGCTTTGCAGCAAGAACTGGCACAGATTGCCGAGTCGCATGGTGTTCATTTTAGCTGAGCTCAGAGCCAAAGGAGCCTGAGCCCTGTCTGCGGCGGAGCAACTTGTCGACGTTTCACTCGCAACTGCCGCTGAGAAACCCTAAACCCTAAACCCTGATGGTCTATTGGGTTGCTACCTACGGATGTGCAGTGATCTATGACGCTGTTGAGCAAAGCTCCGGCATGGTACCGGGAGGCGAGTTGAGGGGTGGCGACAATGTGTAGGTTAGTTGTTTGAGTTTCAGTGTGGAATCCAGGTGTGTGGCTCGCAGGTACCTAATTCGCATTGTCATTGGCGCAGGTTGTGTAGAATGTCGGTGTGGGTCATACTGTTGGAGTGCCTACTTATAGTGACTTTAGGGGCCTTGCGACATGACGTGTGCTGATGTCCCATTGTTGAGTGTACTCCGATGGGCATGCTGTGTGGTGTGCGAGCTTCGGTGTTATGGCGGTTATGTTAGTGCAATGTTGGTGAATGTTGGGTGTGGGTGAAGAGGCCGCAGCCATGAACAACTGCCTCAGCCAACTTTGGCGTTCAACCTAACCTAGCCGGGCAGGTGGAAAAGAGGCGTCAAAAAAAAACCCCTAAACCCAGGGGACGTCATGACAAGGCATCTTCTCAATTGGTGCGGGCTTTCATAGCAGATCCACGGCTCACGGTGTCCTCTTGTGGGTTGTCGAGAGTCT